AAATAGCTTCGGCTCCAAGACTACCTGTCATGCGGGGGGGGGGCTCTGGGTGTCAGGTGTGATATTACTCGCGTGTTGATTGTGGTTGTCCGTTTGGTTGGTATGAACTTAACAGCGGGATCGCCTCATGTACTTAATGGCTGACTGCTCTCTCAGTAGCAGTGACTATTCTGACTGCCTGCTGTGCAATAAAATACACCTATTTTAAGTTTATGAGTTTGACAGATGTACGTACCTGTATAATTAATAAACACCACAGTCAAGAACGTTTTCATCACTCCGGAAAGTTCCCTTCGCATCCAACCCCCATTCCCTTCCCATAGCCAGCCCCAGCTCCAAATATCCTGGTAATCTTTCTATTCTGTATATAAGATTGTACTTTCTATACTTTCTTAAAAGCAGCATGAAAGAATGTGTTGGACTTCTTTTGTTTTTAAATATATCCTGATATTTCATATATTGTTAATTCATTTTTATTGATGAGTAGTCTCCCATGGAATAGCACAAATTGTTTATCCATTCACTAGTTGATGGTCAGTGGATTGTTTTCCATTAGGAGATATTATGAATAAAATCCTATGACCATTTATATACAAGTCTTTTGTGGACATTTGTTTTCATTTGTTTTGGGTAAATGTTTAGGAGCTGAATTGCTGGGCTATGTGGTAAGAATGTGTTTATGAGAAATTGCCAAAGTATTTTCTAAGGTGCTTATACCAATTTATATTCTTATGACTATTGTATAAAAGTTCCAAATATTTTACATCTTTGGCAAACCTTATATTGTCAGTCTTTCATTTTAGTTCTTCCTGTGTGTGTATAGTATATACCATTATTTTAAGTTTCATTTCCCTGAGATCTAATGCTGTTTCGAATCTTTTTATAAGCTCATTGTATTAGTCTTTCAGAGATGCCATAACCAAATACCACAGACTTGGGTGGTTTAAACAACAGGTAATTTTCTCACATCCCAGAGACTGGAAATCAAGATGAAGGTGTCTGCAGATTTGTATTCTCTTTAGGCCTCTGGCCTGCAGATGGCTTGTTTTCTGGCCTCTTTAAAGGACATCAGTCTTATTGGATTAAGACCTCATTTAAGTTTGATTTACTCTTGGAAGGTTTTATCTCCTCACACTGGGAGATAGGCCTTCAACATAGGAGCTGAAGGGACACAATTCAGTTTATTACACTTATTGACCATGGTAGGCAAGCGCTCTACAACTGAGCTACATTTGTTGTTAGCTTCTTTTGGGTTTGTTTTGTGTCGGTTTAAGTCTTTTGCCCATTTTTTGAAGGGGTTATATGACTTCTTATTAAGGTATAAGAATTCACGGTTGAGTAAAACTTAGTGGCAGAGAGCATGCTTAGCAGGCTCTGGGTTCAGTCCTCAACAAGCCTCCTCTCTCCATCAAAAGACATGTAGGAATTATTCTTTCTTTCTTTCTTTTTTTTTTTTTTTTTGAGATGGGGATCTTGGTGATATCACTTTGTTACTCCGGTTGGCCTCAAATTCCTGGGCTTGTCAGGTGATCCTCTTGTCTGAGCCTCCCAAGTAGCTGGGAATATAGGTACATGTGACACTGGGTGAATTTTGTACATTTCTCTTCGCTTTTTCAGATCTTCTTTTTTTAATGTGGTGCTGGGGATTGAACTCAGGGCCTCACTCAGGCTAGTCTAGCACCTACCAATGAGCTAATCCCCAGTCCTAGAATTCTTTATATATCCAGACCACAAATCCAATGTCAGATAAATGCATTGCAAATATTTCCTCCCATTTAATTTTTTTTTTTTTTTTTTTTTGGCCAAGGACTAAATCCAGGGATGTTTAACTACTGAGTCACATCTCCAGCCAGTTTTTTATTTTTTGTTTTGAGGCAAGGTCTTACTAAGTGGCTTAGGAGGACCTTGCTAAATTGCTGAGGCTGACTTTGAAATTGAGATCCTCCTGCCTCAGTCTGCTGAGTCATTGGGATTAGAGGTGTGTGCCATCACTCGTGGCCCATTTAATTTTTCTGAATACTATATTTTAAAAAGCAGAATGATCTTCCTTCCTTCCTTCCCTGTGGATTTAACCTATTAGACTTTACCACTTAGATATATCCCCATCCTTTTTTTTTTTTTTTTGAGACACAATCTTGCTAAATTGTGTAGGGCCTCCCTAAGTTGCTGAGGCTAGCCTTGAACTTTCTATCCTCCTGCTTCATCCTCCCTATTCACTGGGATTATAGGCACGCACCTCTGTGTCCAACTTAAAGAGCATAAGTTTTAAATTTTGTCGATATTCCATATTTCAGTTTTTTCTTTTATGGTTATGGTTTGTATGTCTTTATTTAAGAAACATTGTATAGTTCAAGAGTATAAATTATCTATTGTTTTATTCTAGAAGTTTTATAACTTCAGCTTTACCTATATGTTTATTTTGAGTTCATTTTAATATCTGGTTGAGTTAGTTAAAGGTTGGGGTTCATTCATTTGCATACATATATTCAATTGTTCCACTGTTAATTGAATAGATAATCCTTTCCCTATCAAATTACCTTGGCACTGTGTTTAAAATCAGTTGACCATACACACACACACACACACACACACACACAGATCTATTTCTGAATTCTATTCTCTTCTATTGATTTATATCCTGTGTCAGCAGTACTAACTTGTTACTACAGCTCTATAATTCTTGAACTTATAGTTTTTAAAAAAATAGATAATATAAATCAACTTTTGTCTTCTTTTCCAAACTTATTTTAGTTCCTTTGCACCTTTCTATATGTAATTCAGCATCTGCTTATCAGATTTGCTAATTATGCCTGCTTGAATAGTACCTGGCACTATTGGGATTTTGTTAAATGTGTAGATCGTTTTGGAGAAAATGTCTCTTAGTAATATCAAATTTAAAATCTATGAATATGTTTTTTCTTTCCATTTATTTGTCTTATTTCTCATCAGTTTTATTTAGTTTTTAATGATGGTATTATGCATCATTTGTTACATGTATGTTTAATTATTTCACATTTTGGGCTATAGAGCAATTATCTTGCCTTGTTTCTGATATTATCTTGAAACATAAAATTAATTTGTGTAGTCATTTGGTATTATTTCTTCCTTAAATGTACATTGCAAACTACCAATGAAGCTATCAGAAGCTAGAGTACTTTGTGGTAAATTTTTAAATTTTGAATTGTTTTATAATAAATGGTTATATACTATTTCTTCTTGAATTAATTTTGAGAAGAAGTATGTTTTAAGGAGGTTTGACATTTCACTTCAGTTTAAATTTTTTGGCATAACATTATTTTTAGCATTCTTCCATTTTGAAGTCTTTGTGATCTATAGTGATCTATTACTTACTGTGTGATCTTAAGCAAATTACTTACCCTCTTGTGCCTTCCTTTCCTCCTTTGTAAATAGGATAATAATAGTACCTATCCCATACTGGGATTGTAAGAATTAACTGATGGTCCATATGTATAATAAAGTATGTAGAATAGTGTGAGGTATAGATACCAATGAAGTGTTAGTTTTTGTCATTGAAAACATAGTAGGGACTAGATGATTTCTTGTTGGTGAGGTTAGGCAGGAGAGTCATAAATCACACAGATTAAAAGAGATATATTCCAAGACCATTTTCAGTTTGTAGATTTTCTGCCAGTGAGGAGTAATTAAAATCCATTATTGTTCCAGCTATTGAGGTTTTGTTATGAAAAGATTCCTTTTCACAGCTATTGGCTGCTCAGCAAGAAAGAAATATATCAACTTGAAGAATGGTGCAAGCCCTGATTTTCAAGACTTGCTTGTGCTGCACAGCACTGAAAAGGACATATATTGTATATAACTGATGTTTGTTAATTGGGTGTTAATTTATAATACAGTATTTTACAAGATACTTTCAGGGAAGGAATTTCTCTTTTTGGATCATCTTTCTTTGCTCCATGAAAATTGACATGTATATATATTTGTATTCCATATTCCTTTTATACCTTTCAGATTAATTTCTAAAACTTTGATAAAGAGAAATATCCATGCCATTATTTATTTAGAATTTAACTACAGTTGGTAGGTTATCATTTGAGTAAGGAGAAGAAAAGCATTGAGTTATAGTCTATGTCAAAAAATATTTTTTTTTTTTCTGAAAAGGGCCAGATCTTAAACATCTCAGGTTTTCTGCCTATGCTATGCAGTCTCTGTGGCAATTATTCAAATTTGCTATTGTAGAGTAAAAGAAACCATATGCAAATATATAAGCAAAATGAGTTGGCCATACTTATATAAAATGTTGTTTACAAATAGGTGGCCTATGGGCCGAATTTGACATTTAGCCTTGTTTGCAAGCCTCTGATCTATATAAAACAGTATACCAAAAGATTTGCCCAATTATGTCCTTATATGCAATCTTCAGCAGGCATTATTCATTTGAACTCTATAACTCACTTTTGGTGAATACTTATCCAAGTATTTGTATTGACAAGTTGTCTATCTAGGAAATGTTTATATACATGAGGGTAAACATCCATTAAAAATACTAGGATTCAGCAGTCTAACAGATAGTAATATTTATTCACTAATTTATTTAAAGAATATTTATTGAGCACCTATTGTTTACTCAGCACTATCCCAGTCGCAGGTATACGTTGATGAGCAAGATCTTTGTCAGTGTCCTAATGAAACTTACAGCCAAGCAGTAACTACCTGTTATTGACATTGAACAAGTAATTGCAGTATGTTATATATTCTCATAAACCACATGTGCCAATCACTGTTACACCACTTATTTTAAGAATAATAGAAGTTTAGAAAATTATTGCATATAACAATCCTTCCTTATGTCAGAATAATTACAGGTATTTCAATGAAAATTTCTATTTTTATTTAAGAAAAGGAAAGAAAGAGAACAAAAAATGAATAAGGAAATGGAGGAGAAAGCAGCAAAAGAACTAGAGAAAGAACATTTGCAAGAAAAAGCAAAAGAAAAATATCAAGAATGGTTAAAGAAAAAAATTGCTGAAGAATGTGAGAAGAAGAAGAAAGAAAAGGTATTTTTATTAAAGTAGCCAGTTAGAATATATGTTTTTGGTGTTCCTAGGTGCCAACTATATTTTAGAAAAAAGTATATGATTAGAAAATTGACTGTATCATAGCATAAAGATATGAAACTGTCCTTACTTATATTATGCTGTCTTTAAGCTTCAAAATGAATATGTATTTTTGGTTTCCTTACATTGAGTAATTTCAATAAGCCTATATATTTTTCAGTCATATTCAAAATTGTTGTTAGTTGTTTTAAATATTTTTCAATATACTTTTATCTAGTCATATTACTGTATAATAAATTACTTTAAAAAGAAGGCGGATTGCTTTCTTTTTCTTGGATTTGATATCTTATTGTTTAGAGGAAGACACATTAATATCACATCCCTGATCATGTTCAATTTTACTCTCAAATTATAGAAATATAATTCAATATTGTGGCCAGTAAGCCATTGAGAGAGGAAGCAACTGGGAGAAAAGACTCAGTAGAATTTGAATGGAATGTTTAGTTATAGAATATCCTTGGAAATGCTTTGGTCTTGTCATTTTAAGGAAAAAGAAAAACAACGGCAAGCCGAATTACAAGAGAAAAAGGAAATAGCAGATAAAAAGTTTAAGGAATGGTTGGAAAATGCAAAAAGTAAACCTCGTCCAGCTGTAAAGAGCTATGGTTATGCCAATGGAAAACTTACAGGTTAGTTTTTATGTTATGTGGCTTACATAAGTATGGTTTGCAGAAGCAAATTTTATACATTTTGTTTCTTTTTCACAGAAATAGAAACTTATAAAATTTATTTTTCTTTCAAATTACTATCTTTTAGAAAATTATACTATGTTGGTAGGAATTTATTCATTCTCCATAAATGATATATAAAGGTAATGGTTGTAAAACTGCAAACTTACACTTTTAAGCAATGATTTCTAACATTAGGAAATAAGTTAAATTCTCAGGGATGGAGTTGTAGTTCAGTCACGGAGCATGTCCTTAGCATGCATACTGCCCTGGGTTCAATTGCTAGCATCCCTGGTAGTGCTCTTACATTCTTGGATGAAAAAGCCTTATTCAGGATGTGTTTAAGGGTTCATCTTGCCTACCCTTTTTCTAACCTTCTCTAAGGCAGAGCTTCCAGTGTCTTTGGCACATTCTTTTTACAGGGTGGGATATAGATAGCACATGACCAAACAGAACCAATTGGCCTTTAGGCTTGGTCTGATGATAAATGGCATTGCATGTTTTTCTTTGTGCTTTATGTTGAAAGCTCATACCTTGATGACAGCTGCCTTCACTTGTTTAAATAATTTATTTTTAAAAATACTCCCATTCTGTTTTGTTCACACAATGGAACATATTCCAGACTTTGTTTTGACCATCTTGGTAAAGTGTGTGTTGACATATTATGCAGTCAAAGTGGGCTGCCAGAGTCTGAAAGACACATTCCTGCTGTCAGGATTAGGCCTCTCTTATATGTCATAGAGGTCATCCATTATATCCATTAATCCATTTTAGCTACTGAGGATGGCTTCCTCCTCCTCCTTCTCCTCCTCCTCCTCCCCCCACCTTCCTCCCTGCCACCCTTCCTCCCTCTCTTTCTTTCTTGCTTAAAAAAAGGTCAATAAGCAGTGATTTTAACCTAAAGATTAGATAGTAAAGCTAAGACTTTAGGTGAGAATATACATATTGACTAGAAATTAATTGCTAAAACAAGGGACTATTTTATTAAATTACTTTGCTTTTTAAATGAGTTTAATTCTTTTTTAATTTTATTGGTTCTCTTTAGTTATACATGACAGTAGAATTCATTTTGATATAACTATACAAATATGGGACATATCTTATTCTAATTAGAACCCCATTCTTATGGATATACATGATGGTGTATTTATATACATTTATATGAAAATTATTTTGAATTCATTTCACTCTTTTCTTTTCCTATCCCCATCCCTTCCCTTCATTCTAATAAGCATCCATATTTGTCTGCATGCTGTACTTCCCTTAAGTCTTTACTCTTTATCCTATCATTTTTATAAATTATGAAATAAAGGAATTTGTGTGCCTATAATGACCAAAGGATTTGAAGATAATTTACAGAATGTTCTTCCTTCACATAGTTATTATTGTCAGGCATCACAATTTTTAAACAGTATGTTCATCAAAAGTTGCTCTCTAATTAGTAATAAAATTACACTGATTCTGTGAAATCTTATTAACTTGAATAACAATAAATCAAAATTCCCTGGTTCTAAACAAAAATCTTGATTCACTTTAGCTGTATAAGCAAAATAATTTTTTCTGTAAATTTTAGTCTCTGACAAGGGGAAACTAGTTCACAAATAAGTCATTTCCTAGATAGGGTTAAGAAAATGAAGGTTTTATTTAATTTTTATGGTTCTGAAATTAATTCCATAGTAAAACCTTTGCAGGTATTATTATTTGCATAGATTTTAACAATATTATTTGGGTTCTCAGCATTATTTTTTGTATGTTTTAATAATATTGCTTGGCTTCTCAGAATTATCTTTTACTACATTACTATATTTGAAAGTGTTAGTTTTTTTAAAAAAAACTATTCAGATTAGCTTGGTGTGTCAGTGATAGTTCGCCTTTTTGACAGTTTAACATTTTCTAGGAATTTTAAAATAAGTAATTGTTCTCAAGAAGTTTAGTTGTTTTGTTTTGTTCTGATTTTTCAATGATTGTAGGTTTTTACAGTGGAACTTCCTATCCAGAACCAGCCTTTTGTAATCCAATTCCATGGAAACCAATTCATATGTCACCTCCCAAAGAAGCTAAGGATCTATCAGGAAAGAAGAATAAAAGACCTGTGATAAGTCAGCCACACAGGTCATCTCTGGTAATTCATAAAGCCAGAAGCAATCTTTGCCTTGGAACTCTGTGCAAAATGGAAAGATAGTATATGTGGAAAATACTATGCTTTTACCCGAAGCTATTTAATTTTGAAATCAAAAAGATTTTTTACCTCTCAATCAGCAAATTAGTACTTGATGTGATTATTGACATACTAATTTTTGTATTTTATATGGAGTCTGAAGGATTAATTGAGAAAGGTATTTTTTATGTTTTGGTTTTTCTTTTAAGATTGATCTTGGCATATTGTTTTGCATGATAAGTCTAACAATTGTGCTTATGTTTAGCTTATATTAAAACCACACTGTAATACCCATAAAACCAAAAATTTTTCCTGTATTATTTCATACTCTATATTGTTTGCTGATGTTTATGTTCAAGAACATAACATTAAGATTAATTTGTCCAAATATGCATTTCTAAACTGCATGCTTTTCTAAATGGGTTAGAAACCAAGAATAATCAAAAACAGTCTTTGTTGATGGCTTTTAGTATACTTTTCCCATTTAGATATTTTAAAAATAACTGAGTAAAAGTTTATTTTGTTACAGAAATAAGAGTTGGGACTTTCAAAGGAAAATCTAAATACATTGTTTTACACTCTGCATCTTAGATTGATGTGTCATAATCTTGAGACCTTAGTAATATTGTGCTTTATTTTGTAAAAATACTTACACATTAATTGTACTTCTTTGTTAGCTTTGAAATTAGGATTTTCATTACATTATTTTTTAATATTGAAATGTTAATTGTTAAGTTTTATGTTGCTGAGGTTGAAATCACAGATCTTATTAATAAACACATTTTAAGGATAAAAGTTGAAATGATTACTAAAATAGCACACAATTTGTATTAAATTTTATTAAATATGCTTTTTAGGAAAAGCCTGTTATCTTTTTTAGGGCCTGAGAAAGAAATGAAAATTTATTCACTTTAAAGTGATTTCTATTTAGAATATATTCTATATTTTTGCCAGATTAGTCACTGGCCAAGTTTCTGGTGATCAGGTAATATGTTGGACAATGCAAGGATAACAGAATTTTTAAAGTGTAATCATGTAATCACGACTTTAGAAAAATGCACTTCTAAACATAGAATAATTTGTTAGCAATCAATAGGGTTTGTTTAGTCAAAATGTTGGTGAGATTTAGGTTTAGTTTGTTTGTTTTTATGCAATACTAAGGATTGAACCTAGAGCCTCATACTCACTGAGCTATGCTGAGCTATGTTTCTGGCCCTTGTGACCCTTGACCATATTTCTTAGAACTCCTGAAATAGTAAAACTTCTAGATAATCGTTCTATTTGAGTAAATTTTCCTTTATAGAGAAAATGTAGAATTTTTCAGGGTAGCAATATTTTTCTGTTAAAAAATATAAGTGCATTTTCTCTATAAAAGCAATTTTGGCTTTATATAACTCTGTGTGGGGGGGTGTGTGAGAGAGAGAGAGATGTGTATCTGAAGTATCTGAATTTCTGAGGGTTTCACATGTAGTTGTTATATCTAATAAACATTCTATTTCACAGCTGAGATTAACTGTTAACTATAACTATTCTAGCAAGACTTTTCAGTCATTAATCATTTCAGTGTAATATCCTGAGTTCAATAGATATCAGTAGTTTGAATTTTATTCTTTCTCTTTTTTTAGTCCTGGGGATTGAACCTACAGGTGCTTTACTACTAAGACACATCCACAGCCCTTTTTATATTTTTATTTTGAGACATTGTCTCACTAAGTTGCTTAGGGCCTCACTAAATTGCAGAGGCTAGCCTCAAACTTGTGATTTCCTGCCTCAGCCTCCCTTGTTGCTGGAATTATAGCTGTCCACCACTGGGCCTGGATTTAATTGTAATTGCCTCTGAAGATTTTAAACAGGGAATTGATAAGGTCTGGTTTATTCTTTGAAATTACACTGGCTGCTCTGAAGAAAATTACTTAATTGGGGGGAGGGGAGAATGGGAGGAGGGAAATGTTTAGAAGATTTTTTATCATCTAGCAAAGAGATCATGATAACTTGGATTAAGATGGCAGCAGTAATAAGAAATAGAGATGTATTTGAGTTATATTTTTGAGATGGAGCAAACAGGGCTGCTATTATTTGGAAGATTGAGAAGGAGGAAGAATCAGATATGACTTCTAGTTATTTGGCCTGATAACTATGTAAATAATGATAATTATAACAGAAATAGAAAGATTTATAGAGCAGATTTATGGGCTGAGATGAAGAAAGAGGGAGGTCTTTAAGAATTCAGTTCTGGATTTGTTAGGTTTTCAGTACCAACTTAATATCCTAGTGGAGATGGTAGTTAAATATGTGTCTGATGCTCAGAAGAAAGCCAGGATTGGAGATATAATTTGAGCAACATCAGCACATAGATAGTATTTAAAAACATGAAACTTGATCAGAATACCTAGGAAGAGTTTAGATAGTAAGAAGGGTGGGTTGAATATTCCAATTTTTAGACAGTCACCAAATCCTGAATCAGCAGCCAGTAGACTAGAAGAAACACAATAGAGTGTGATGTCACAGGAGCCATGAATAGAAGTGAGTTGTGAACTCTCTCTACTGACTCTTGAGAACTAAGACAAGGAAAAGCCTTCATTATTGGATTTGGTAAGATGAAGGAAGGTTCTTGTTGAACACAATAGTGAACATGTATTGAATTATTTCTATAGTCCTGGTAGTCTTATGCTTTCATATGTGCTATTTAATCCTCACAAATAGTTACTTTCATTATTTTCATTTTATACTTGAGGAAACTGAGATACAGAGATGTTATATTGCATTTATTGATAGTAAATCACAGAATATGGATCAGAGCCCAAGAGATTAAGGTTCAAGCTTTACAATCAGATTTGTTTCCTTTCCTATATAATAAATATGAAAAAAAAAACTGGAATGAAACTATAATGAAATAGACTTCATAGAGAATCGGAGGTAAGAAAGCAGAGCCCATAAGTGAAAGCCACTTTTTCCAAAAGTTTTATAGTGAAAGGAAAAGCTAAATGGGATATGAGCTGGAAGGGAATGTAAGGTCAAGGTCACTTTGTTTGTTTTGTATTAGATGGGTGATATTAAGTGTGTTTCTGCTGATGGTAATGCTATAGTTGAAAGGCGACTTGAAGATTTAGGAGAGATTAGGGATGATTTGAGAAATGCAGTTCTTTTTTTTTTTTTTCTTTTTTTTTTTTTTAATTTTTTATTGTGGGTTGTTCAAAACATTACAAATTTCTTGACATATCATATTCCACACTTTGATTCTAGTGGGTTATGAACTCCCACCTTCACCCCATACACAGATTGCAGATTCACATCAGTTACACATCCATTGATTTACAAATTGCCATACTAGTGTCTGTTGTGCTCCGCTGCCTTTCCCATCATCCACCCTCCCCCCTCCCCACCTCTCCCCTCCCCTCCCCTCCTCTCTCTCTACCCCCTCCACTGTATAACCCTGAGGGTCTCCTTCCATTACCGTGCAATTTACCTTCTCTCTCCCTTTCCCTCCCACCTCTCATCCCTGTTAAATGTTAATCTTCTTCTCCTGTTCTTCGTCCCTACTCTGTTCTTAGTTACTTTCCTTATATCAAAGAAGACATTTGGCATTTGTTTTTTAGGGATTGGCTAGCTTCACTTAGCATAATCTGCTCTAATGCCATCCATTTCCCTGTAAATTCTATGATTTTGTCATTTTTTAATGCAGAGTAATACTCCATTGTGTATAAATGCCACATTTTTTTTATCCATTCGTCTATTGAAGGGCATCTAGGTTGGTTCCACAGTCTTGCTATTGTGAACTGTGCTGCTATGAACATCGATGTAGCAGTGTCCCTGTAGCATGCTCTTTTTAGGTCTTTAGGGAATAGACCAAGAAGGGGAATAGCTGGGTCAAATGGTGGCTCCATTCCCAGCTTTCCAAGAAATCTCCATACTGCTTTCCAAATTGGCTGCACCAATCTGCAGTCCCACCAGCAATGTACAAGTGTACCCTTTTCCCCACATCCTCGCCAGCACTTGTTGTTGTTTGACTTCCTAATGGCTGCCAATCTTACTGGAGTGAGATGGTATCTTAGGGTGGTTTTGATTTGCATTTCTCTGACAGCTAGAGATGTTGAGCATTTTTTCATGTACTTGTTGATTGACTGTATGTCCTCCTCTGTGAAGTGTCTGTTCAGGTCCTTGGCCCATTTGTTGATTGGGTTGTTTGTTCTCTTATTGTCTAATTTTTTGAGTTCTTTGTATACTCTGGATATTAGGGCTCTATCTGAAGTGTGAGGAGTAAAGATTTGTTCCCAGGATGTAGGCTCCCTATTTACCTCTCTTATTGTTTCTTTTGCTGAGAAAAAACTTCTTAGTTTGAGTAAGTCCCATTTGTTGATTCTAGTTATTAACTTTTGTGCTATGGGTGTCCTATTGAGGAATTTGGAGCCCGACCCCACCGACTGTAGATCGTAGCCAACTTTTTCTTCTATCAGACGGCGCGTCTCTGATTTGATATCAAGTTCCTTGATCCATTTTGAATTCACTTTTGTGCATGGCGAGAGAAAGGGATTCAGTTTCATTTTGTTGCATATGGATTTCCAGTTTTCCCAGCACCATTTGTTGAAGATGCTATCCTTCCTCCATTGCATGCTTTTAGCCCCTTTATCAAATATAAGATAGTTGTAGTTTTGTGGATTGGTTTCTGTGTCCTCTATTCTGTACCATTGGTCCACACGCCTGTTTTGGTACCAGTACCATGCTGTTTTTGTTACTATTGCTCTGTAGTATAGTTTGAAGTCTGGTATCGCTATACCGCCTGATTCACACTTCTTGCTTAGCATTGTTTTTGCTATTCTGGGTCTTTTATTTTTCCATATGAATTTCATGATTGCTTTCTCTATTTCTACAAGAAATGCCATTGGGATTTTGATTGGCATTGCATTAAACCTATAGAGAACTTTTGGTAATATCGCCATTTTGATGATGTTAGTTCTGCCTATCCATGAACAGGGTATATTTTTCCATCTTCTAAGATCTTCTTCTATTTCTCTCTTTAGGGTTCTGTAGTTTTCATTGTATAAGTCTTTCACCTCTTTTGTTAGGTTGATTCCCAAGTATTTTATTTTTTTTGAAGATATTTTGAATGGAGTGGTTGTCCTCATTTCCATTTCAGAGGATTTGTCGCTGATATACAGGAATGCCTTTGATTTATGCGTGTTGATTTTAAATCCTGCCACTTTGCTGAATTCATTTATTAGCTCTAATAGTTTCTTTGTAGAGCCTTTTGGGTCTGCTAGGTATATAATCATATCATCTGCAAATAGTGATAATTTAATTTCTTCTTTTCCTATTTTTATGCCTTTAATTTCTTTCGTCTGTCTAATTGCTCTGGCCAGTGTTTCGAGAACTATGTTGAAGAGAAGTGGAGAGAGAGGGCATCCCTGTCTTGTTCCAGATTTTAGAGGGAATGCCTTCAGTTTTTCTCCATTCAGAATAATGCTAGCCTGAGGCTTAGCATAGATTGCTTTTACAATATTGAGGTATGTTCCTGTTATCCCTAGTTTTTCTAGAGTTTTGAACATAAAGGGATGCTGTACTTTGTCAAATGCTTTTTCCGCATCTATCGAGATGATCATATGGTTCTTATTTTTAAGTCTATTGATGTGGTGAATAACATTTATTGATTTCCGTATATTGAACCAGCCTTGCATCCCAGGGATGAATCCTACTTGATCATGGTGTACAATTTTTTTTATATGTTTTTGTATCCGATTCGCCAGAATTTTATTGAGGATTTTTGCATCTAGGTTCATTAGAGATATTGGTCTGTAGTTTTCTTTCTTTGAAGTGTCTTTGTCTGGTTTAGGTATCAGGGTGATGTTGGCCTCATAGAATGAATTTGGAAGTTCTCCCTCCTTTTCTATTTCCTGAAGTAGCTTGAAAAGTATTGGTATTAGTTCTTCTTTAAAGGTTTTGTAAAATTCTGCTGTATACCCATCGGGACCTGGGCTTTTCTTAGTTGGTAGTCTTTTGATGGTTTCTTCTATCTCCTCAATTGATATTGGTCTGTTTAGGTTTTCTATATCCTCCTGACTCAATCTGGGCAGATCATATGACTTAAGAAATTTATCTATGCCTTCACTATCTTCTAATTTATTGGAGTATAAGGATTCAAAATAGTTTTTGATTATCTTCTGTATTTCTGAAGTGTCTGTTGTGATATTGCCTTTTTCATCCCGTATGCTAGTAATTTGAGTTTTCTCTCTTCTTCTCTTCACTAGCATCGCTAAGGGTGTGTCGACTTTGTTTATTTTTTCAAAGAACCAACTTTTAGTTTTGTCAATTTTTTCAATTGTTTCTTTTGTTTCGATTTCATTAATTTCAGCTCTGATTTTAATTATTTCTTGCCTTCTACTTCTTTTGCTGTTGTTTTGCTCTTCTTTTTCAAGGATTTTGAGATGAAGTATGAGATCATTTATTTGTTGGTTTTTTCTTTTTTTAAGGAATGAACTCCAAGCAATGAATTTTCCTCTTAGAACTGCTTTC